TTAGTGACTACAAAAATATGTATATAGACATCCCAACCTTCCACGATTTCTCAACTCTGTCCCTACACTTGTCACCGGCACTGCGCGTTTATCGCCCTCCAAAACTTTCACACCAACCACTTTCAAACATTTTCGCAAACTCACCTTTATTTTTTTTTTCTTCACTTATCCTTAAAAATAAACCCACACAGCCTGCAAAAATCGACCTCACTTAACAAGTCAGGATTCAGCACATAACCGGACTACGATTTCGAACTAAACACAACGGCTGTATTTAAAATACGTAAGGTAAGGGAGTTTAGTGCGAAAGCAAGAAGGTGCGTGCACTGCAGCAAGCCAGCAATTCCCACGATCAATCGACGTAGTTCGTGGCCCCTGCAACGGAAATTTTCACGCTGTAGAAAGTTTCAGAAGTCGTGCAACGAACATGGACATCTAAAATGTAAGCTTGGCGTCGTAGGGAAAGTGAAAGTCATGCATCGCGTATCGTATCAGCAATAAAAATTTACGATACCTTGGAAAGATCCGCCCTAAAAATTCATCGGAGAGTGTTTGTTTCTTGTAGTCGTGCTAAAGGTTGCAATTTTGCGGGTTGTTAACATTTTGTTCTGAAACTTTCGTCGAGAAACTTTCCCCGTTGAACGCGCTACGCAACTATGGCAATCGATGAGGAAAACTACGTCGTGTAAGAAAACACGAGAGTCACCCGGCAGCTTCTCTTCGCTGATTGGCCAGAAAAAATTTTTTCTGGCCAATCAGAAGCAGGCAATTCAAACGCTTCTGGAACTGGTTCGGTAAGAGTAAGTGCCCAGGGGCTCGTCTCGATCTTACAGTAAACTTTCACTACGAACATTTTATCGACCCGACCAACTGCCCCTGGGTCTCCGAGGATGTCGACGTATTAGCCATTAAAGAGTGCAACACAACCGGAGTTAAGTGTGGAAATTGCGACAAACGTAGCAAAGAAAGCCATTATTGTTTCCAGTGTTGTGCGTTCTGGTGCGGAGAGTGCATCACTTTCCACAATGGGATGAAAGCCAATAAAGATCACTATGCGCTGGCATTGGAAGACTTTCAAGATCATGACTTTGAGAACATTTTAAAGCGGCCAACATTTTGTGCGATACCAGGCCACGAGAAAAAGGAGACAGAATTCTTCTGCAATACCTGCGAAGTCGCAATCTGCAACGCTTGTGCGTTAACGAATCATGATGGGCACGGAAAGATTCTTCTGGAACAAGCTGCAAATGAGCGGAAGTTAAGAGTTAAATCTGCAATTGAATCTCAGAGAAAAAGAGCTCAGACAAAGAGAAGCAAAATCACCAAACTTGACGAAAGCCTTATTGAAGTTCAACAACAAGCCGCTCGTGGGAAGAGAAACGTACAAGAGTATGCTGACAGCATCATTGCAGCCATTGAAGCAAAGAAACTGGAGATCTTTGATGATGTGGAACGAAGGACAAAAGCATCTCTTCAAGACATAGGAAAGCAAAAGGAGGAGATTGAAGAATAAGCAAGAAGGCATGAATCAGAAATAGAAAGTACTGAAATACTTTTAAAGCGAAGCACAAGCGCTGAACTCATGCAGCTGAACGAGCTGATGGACAAAATATTAACGGAAGAAAATTTCCAAGAAAACAGTGACCGTGATAAAGATTTTTTGCAAGAATTATATTTTGTGAAGAGCCACAAGTTATTTGATCTCGTAAGCGTTGAACAAATTGGTTGCCTAAAAGAAAGTCAGACAAGAGCGCAACAATCGAGTGCTGATGGAAAAGGAATCAGTGAGGCAATTGTTGGACTTGAAGCACAGCTTGTTGTGACAACAAGAAACAAGAAATGCCAACAATGTTATGATAATAATGACTGTGTCACACTGGAAGGTAGAAATCGTGAAGGCGAAAACTGCGCAGCTGAAGTGCAAATTCAAGATAACAAAGATGGTACTTACAAGATCAAATACTTTGCCAAAGAAACAGGAACATGCAGTGCATCAGTGAAGGTTAATGGAGAACATATCCGTGGTAGCCCTTTTGAGGTTCAAGTCAAACCCAGACAGTTCAGACCTGTGTTATCTTTTGGACAACAAATATTGAAGAAGCCTTTCGGGGTAGCAGTTAATGAACAAAATGAAATTGCAGTGAGTGACGTTGGTAACCATAAGGTTCATTTATTCAAGAACGATGGAACTCATATTAAATCTTTTGGTGGAGAGGGAGCAGAACACGGTGAGTTTGACTGGCCTTCCGGAATAGCGTATCATAGTGACAATATTATTGTAGCTGAACAGGGTAATCACAGAGTTCAAGAACTGAGTAGACAGGGGGGATACCTTCGCCACTTTGGGGGAAAAGGAAGTCTTGATCACCAACTTAACTTTCCTACTGGTTTATCTATTGACAGTGATGGCAATATCATTGTAACTGATAGGGAAAACAAATTAATTAAGATCTTTTCTGCTGATGGACAATTTTTACACAAACTTGGCACAGAGAGCTCTGTCACCGAACCCTTTCACTGTATCCAACATGAAAACTATCTAATAGTATCAGACGAAGGTGATAATTCTGTAAAATACTTTGATAGGAAGGATATCTTTCTTTATAAATTTGGAAAGAAGGGAGATGGGGATGGAGAGTTCAACTCACCTCACTGCCTGTCCATGCACAAGGGAGGACACCTGATGGTTTGTGATAAAAACAATAGAGTTCTAAAGCCATGACGTCACGTTGCGTGGCAACGGAAAAATTTGGGTCTAAACAAAACGGATGGAGTAAGTCATGGCGGCACTTTCGATATCATCGCTGGCTTCCTTTTTCTCTGATGAGCAGAAGTCCTTAACAAGAGGTGAAAATCATTATCAGTCTAATCACATAGAAAGTTTTTCCTTCAGTGATGGTGTCATTCGTGGAGAAGTTCACGCTAGCATGAAGAAAAAAGTGTATAAAGTGACGGTAAGTGATCGATACTTTCAACCATGTTGATTCTTGTCGATTCTATCAACCAAATGGCTTTTATGCATTTTGTGGCTTCACTCAGTCATGTTGATCGTTATTATATCTAATACAAATATTTAAAAGAAAGCTTAATTCACGATTTGGAGGCCTAAACGCAACCGACGGTACCTCGCTCTGTTTTTTATGTTAAAAGGTAATTTCGCCACGTTCCCCATCATGAATTAAGCTTTAATATATGAAAACTTACAAACGCCTTACAGTTCCCCAAATAATACCAGTTTTCTCCGCGATTTTAGATTTATTTAGACGAAGAGAAGAACATTAAATCAACGGATTGTGAGTGTCCGCGAGGGATGTTTAGGTGTAGTCATGCTGCCGCTTTGTTTATACATGGCCTATACAACCTCAGTAGAACAGACATTGAATGCCAGTGGAAAAAGCGAAAAGCCACAAACTCGTTGCTGCCGTCAGTGCAAGAAATGTTTCCTCCTGCAAAACCTGCATACCGTGCTCTTTTAAGAGACCCAACTCGTGAAGAACGTAGTGAACTTTTCCAAAGGCTGAAAAACTATGGTAAATTTACTGGACTTTATTGGCTCATGAGCCCTGAACCACAGACTCAGTCTAAGTCCTTGCCAGTTGCTACAGTAGAAGATGTTATTTTCCAAGAGGAATTTCTACTGTTGCAAGGCCTCCAAGAACAACGTCAGTATTTTCTGAATAAAGTCAGTGTTGAATGGAAAACTATTGAAGATGTAAGCCGCCTTACTGCTGGACAAAGGGACAATCCTTCTTGGCAAATGATCAGGAGGGGTCGACTGACAGCAAGTAACTTTGGTTCAGTTTTAAATGCCAAGCGTGTTACCCCGTCCTTAATCAAACGCCTTCTCGGTGAATACGATCTATCAAGGGTGAAAGCTGTCCAGTATGGGGTATGCAATGAATCTGAAGCCATTAACGCATTCAGGCTCAAGACTGGCCTGGATGTGGTGGAAACAGGTGTGTGGCTACACCATTCTGGAGTCCTCGGTGCCTCTCCTGATGGATTGGTTGGAGAAGATAGTGTTCTAGAGGCTAAGTGCCCCTATACACACCGAGATTTGACTATTGAGGAAGCCATTAAGACCAGCAACTTTTACCTTGAAAAGAAGGATGGGGAAATTGTGTTGAAACGTGACCATGTTTACTGGCACCAAGTCCAGGGCCACTTATTTCTCACCAAGAGAAAGAAGTGTTACTTTGTCGTCTGGACGTTGAAAGATTTTGTAGTTCTTGAAATTCAGCGGGATGACTCTTGGGAGATTAAGATTGAAGAACTGAAAGAATTTTATTTGAAACACCTTTTCCCAAAAATTATTGAGGGAGAACTCTAAAACTTTCAATTCTTTTTTTTATTATTATTTTTCCATTATAGGGCACTTCTTGTATGACTGAAACACAATTTTTATGTTGTGTACAGGGCTATACATGATATGGGCTGTCCACCTTTCAAACTTGTTGCTGTTCGGAAAATTTTCAATTTCACAGTATTTTTATTCCTAAATAATAATGTATGAAATGTAACCTGTTAATTTTATTGTTTATAGTTCCTTAGTTTGTGACAAACATTAAAATAAGTAAGTTTCTCTTTGAAAACTTGTTATGACTGAGTCTGTTTCATTCAACCCTTTAACTCCTAAGAGTGACCAACTTTAAGTTTCTCATAAGTTATAGAAACACTACCCAATCAAACACATGACTGTTAACCCTCTAAGTCCAAATGTACAAATACACATACAAATCCTGCAGACTGAGCAGACTGATATTATACATTTTCTTAAAGTATTAGCAAGAGAATGTGCAGTAGTACATGTATCATGAATCATAAAAATTTATTTTGATGTTATGAAACATGCATGCATATACAACATTAAGAAGGAAATATTAAATCACTCGAATTGCTTCACTTCCTCTGCAGGCATCCTGAACTTAAACATGTACCATAACAAAAGCCTACTGACAGAAGATCTTAAAGAATATGATGATTAAAGAACAATAAAAAGTACACCCAACTGTACAATATTGCTTTTGAGAATATCACTTATGTATCCACTTAACTGGCAATGTACATTAAATTTCCTAGTCAAAGTCTGTTCCCTCACACCCCTCTTTAATTAAAGGAAACTGCAAGTTGACAATAGCTGCACATAACTGAAACACTTTGTCAATGTGAGACCTTAAGTATGGAGGGACAAAACTCAGAATTTTAAAATCTTTGAGCCTTGCATTTGCCCTTTCAACATGTATGCGACATCTAGCAATTGACTTGGTTAACTTGGCCTCACTTTCAGTAAATTTACCGTGTTCAAGAAATGGTGGAATGTTCACAGACACACCCTTAGGAACAATGTCTTGAATGAGAAATCCTTTGTCTGCTAAGATCAGATCACCAGGAACAAAGTGCTGTAGAAAACCAGATTGCTGGACAATCTCTTTGTCAGAGATGGATCCAGGGTAGAGGTTGCTAATGTAGGTCAACACTCCATTAGGTGCAACCCCTGTCAAAACTTTGAATGAGTTCATCCCACGGTAACTTGAATAGGTCACATTTTGTTGACTCATAAGGCTTGGTGTGGCCACTTCAATGTCAGTACAATCAATAATAATTCTGCAACTCGAGAACTCTGAAAAGGATGATGGCGAACACAAGCAGTTCTTGTTCCTGGAAGGAATCACTCTCATCAGATCATCAAACAGCAGTGTATGTAAGATGTGTACAAATGTTATAACTATGTTAGAAATTGTCCCAACACTGCATGAAAATAGCTGTGCCAGGTGTAAATTGGTGTAGTTTTGCCGTAATTTCATAAGTGTTATGAAGATTTGGTCCTCAAAGGTTATGGACTCGACTTTCCATCCACAGTAATAAGAAATGGAGTCCTTGAATTTAGCTGTATAATCCATTACAATTGTGAAAATCTCCTTTGTTGGTAAACCAGTTTCCATTCTGATTACTTCAGAACTCAAGTTTGAAACAGAGTAATGTTTTTTCTGATACTGCATGGTGTCCTGGTGATAGTTCAGCTCCTGCTTTGCTACTTTTAATTCTGCCTCTAAGATTATTTGCTCAGTTGGAGTTGAGGATCTTTCGTCCCATGTATCTGAAGACTCTGTAGATCTGGCATTAATGATGGCCATGGTATCTTTAACAGTCGGTAACTTATTAACCAATGATTTGGGTTTCTTTTTCTTTTTCGGAGGAGTTTTTTGTGACGGGAATAGTTTATCAGCATTCCACTTGAAAATTTCCGGCCCTGCAGATTTCTTTCCACGTCTGAAATGACAGCTGCACACTTTGGAATGCTTGCTTGGTTTTCTGTCAGCTCTCCTGATATAGAACATTACCCTTCAGATTAACATTAAGAGGTTTAAACAGCGCCAAAATTTAGCTTAAACTATCGGAATACTACTTGTGCCTTACACTTCTCGCCATACATTTACAAAGCTCAAGTATTTCTTTATCACCGTTATCATTGTAAAAAAACTTGCACCCAAATTGCACGATGGTGAAAAACCATACAAAAACAGCAAACATTCAGCCTACCTTAGCAAGCGAACCCATCGGTCATATTCTTCCTTGTCCTTCTCTGGATTTGGAAACAGAAAGAACCGGCAAGTATGCGATTCCGAATTATGGTTACATTCCGGAGCAAAGCAATGCATGTTCGTGACCTTTGTGGCCTTTCACTGTGGGGATCGACCACCTACTCACAGATAAATTTCTCCATAAAATCGCACGTACAGCTTCAAACGTTTGCATCGAGCACAACAGTGGAGTCCATAAACCATTGTTTTTTTCATTCTTTGGAATAGAAAGTCCTACATGTCGAGATTATTTAGCGAACAATACGAAACCGCAATTAACAATGGCGTCCGTATTGCAGCTTGGTTTTGTTTAGACCCAGAAAAATGGTTGTCATGACAGCGTGACGTCACACTTTAGTACTCTATAACAGGATTCAGGTGTTTGATCTGAGTGGGAAGTTTGTCGCTAAGTTTGGAACAAAAGGAAGCGGGATGGGAGAGTTTAATAGGCCGGTCTCAGCAGCGGTTCTTAGTGATGGTAAAATAGTTGTGTCTGACATCAGCAACAGTCGTATTCAGATTTTTGAATAAATGCTGTAAAGTTTCAACATCACAAAAATGTTGTATTTGGCTCACTCTTTCGTCCTTTACATTTTTTCACATTAATGGTCCTGTTTTACATGTGCATGTTAAATCAATATTTGTTTATTTGCTTAAAACTATGTAAGAACAAAGAGCGGAGAGAATAATATAAAAACAATATTTTTGGTGTAATGAGCTGTTTCCCTGAGTATATTAACTTTGACTGTTATTAGGTGATAAATGAAAACATAGCCTTAATTTAAGGTTAATCCAGCATAAGATACAATTCAGCATGTTGTTGCCTGCACAGGATAGAAATGAAATAAAATAAAAATAAATTGTTGTTTACTTGTTTATTTAACTTCCATGCAGTGGCTCTATAACAATGCACTAATGTGGTCTGTTAGGATACTGTCTTTTTTGAGTTTCAATCTTTCCTGTGAAATAAAGCTAACTACTTCTCACTGGACCACAAATTAGCATGGCACAAAAACTCAGACTAGGAGAACTGTTCCTGTGAGATTAAACTCAAGGACCGTCATGCTACACAACTGAACACCCATTTTCAAAGCAATGCCTTTTTTTACGTAATACAAGGAAAGCATTCCAGGTTGGGTAGAGTGACATCGTGCATGTATGACCCTTCCTGAATTGTTTAAAAGGAATAAGAAGACCTTAAAGTTCTAGTGACGTAAAGAACCTCCATAAATATAATATTTCATTCCTACGTTCACAGTGCCCTCTACAAGGAAATCACCAAGATATAAGGGGTCAATTAAATAAAACTTTACGAGAGTAACTCACAAGTGTAGCAATAATGATTAAAAGTCTGAAAACAATAGCTAGCTCGTAAATTACACTTGCAAAAGTGTTACTTAATTGACCCCAGGCCTAGGCAAATGTTTAGAGACTACTGTGTGATGAAGTACATGGAGCTATCTGGGCAATATGAGTCCGCACTAAGCAAAATGACAAGTGGGTTCATATGTCTGGACACCAATCTGTGAAAAGGTACGTTTAGTAAAGTACTCAGCGCTGAGCAAAAGGATTAAGAGGGTTTGCAGAGGGGATGTTTCTGGGTGGTGGAGGTGCAAGGCCTGGTGGCAAACTCTGTTGACTAGCTCCACCTCTCTTCTGTTGCTGCTGTTGAATTTGATTGGGTGTCAATCGGAAATGGAACTGCAGGAAAAACTGAAAGCAAGAAAACAGAAAGCTTTTTATTGAGTAGTTCAGTGTATGAAAATTATCGTCCAAAGCAAAATAAAAAAACGATAATCATATGATCCCGCATTTCTGTTGTACAGTCGAACCTGTATATAATGGCCACCTTCGGGACTTGAGGAACTGGGTGCTTAATACAGGTGGCCATTTAATACAGGATCACTAAAAATACTCAATTTTGATGGCGTATCATACAAAAACACTTCAGGCAAGAAGCAGTTGGTCAATGCAACCAATACATGTACTTTAAAAAAAAGCTCAGTGCCAACTTGTAACTTAACGGTCCAATGTATACGCAATATTGTGTAAAAGTACTGTGTAATAAATTGTCCTCTTATCTTCTACGGTATACAGTACTGTATTTCCATGACTTAAAGTCCACATCAAATTATCGCATTCTGTCATTTCATAGTTGTTACGTTTAATGTGCAGTTATAACGTAAATGTTGCTAATTAGAAGTAGCACAAAATAATGTATGGCTTAGCTTCTGTTTAAGGGTGGCTGCTTAATACAGGTAAAAATAATAAGGAAAGACAAACACAGGACTGCTACAGGGTGGCTGAGGCCGCTTAATAAAGGTGGCCGCCTAATACAGGTAACAAATACAGCATTTGTATGAGCAAAAAATCGGGACTTTGAAAACTGGCCGCATAATAGAGGGTGGCCACTTAATACAGGGCCGTTATATACAGGTTTGACTGTATTTGCTCATGACTAAACCATCCATGGATACAACAAATATCAGCTGTTTATTAAAGGATACTTGATGGAGTTAGAAAGATGTTTATTAAATCTCTGGGTTAAGTGAGAGTCTAAGAGGTCATTGAAGGCTTCATTTCAAGAAGTGGAAATGCTGTTGATGGGTTGTAGTGCATCAAATCTAACAGGGTCCAAGGTCAAGGCTTTGAGTTGTCAAAAACATTTGTTTATCACTTAACATACCCATAGTCCAAAATAAAATGAAACAATCAGCAAATTAAAAACCAAAACAAACTTTTGATTTCACCCGTCATTACAGTGAATTTGACCAATCAAAGTGTATGTACTCATTTAGAGATACAATAAAAGAATTTGCTGACCTGTTTTGTGTCTTTATTCCAGTGAGTCCACAGTCGCCCTTCATCTTTGTCAATTTCCCTACTTGGAATCTACAGCAAGAGTTGTTTCTAATTAATTTAAAGGTGTTTGAAAACAAAATATGGACATTTTGTCAAACTGCTGACTGTTTCAAGTTGGATATCAATCACTACAGTCAGTTCTCTTTTAAGGCCAGACACCACTGGGAACATTATAATAATAATTTATAAGCCGCAAAATAACATTTAAATATTTGATCTAATGTGCAGATAAAAATTAATGCGAACAGCACATAGTGTCCATCTCAAAAAAGGGGCCTGCTGCCTTCCACAGGAATGAATAATATTGTTGTTTTTTACTTGATGTCGCTAAAATTCAAACTACAAAACCATCTATCCTACTGAGACTTTCATGATGTATTAGAGCAGCTGAAAAATTTTGCACTTCAAAATGCTTCTTGGTTTTGAGTATGCTTGAATGTCTAAGCATTTACATCACCGCTCAGAGGGCTGTCATGAAGGTTAAAAAAGAAGCTTACACTAATTTTGTTATCTAAACAGTTCATGCATTAGAAAAAGTATTACTTTAATGTTTATGAGTTACTTGAGAAATATAATCAGGCTTTTGTAGCAAAACTCAGCAACAGATGTTTCTGTTTCTTCAGCATGGTGCCTCCATACAAATCTCTATAAATTTGGGTAAAACATTTCTTTGGGTATTTCTATACAAAATATTCCTCTGACCTGAATCTTGGCAAGAGTCTTTGCGTGGTTACTTACTTACATTTTCCAGACTCTTGACTTAATCTATTGAAAGATAATTAATTTTTTTGATTTCAATTTTGATCTACGGTATTTTGAATGGCGTGACACTGAAAACCAGCAATACAGCAAATGCTTTGTAAACTGTTTTCATGGAACATACCTTGAAGGCTATAGTTTCATAAGGCTCAGCTGCAAAAAGAAGATACTGCCATGATTTGTCTGGTGGTTCAATTCGCTGTTCATAAGCTGACATGAAGCGATGCCTTGGAGTGATGCTTTCTGCTATCTCTGGATAATCCACCTACACATACAGAGGAATGAATCACTTATGAGCATTCTGAAGCAAGTTAAAATACAATATCAGCCCCCTAATGGGTCTTCTTTGGCATTGATCCATAGTGAGCGGGGGAGGGGGGGTACTCCTAGGAATTCTTGGTGGGGGTGATGTGCCACATGGTTCTCCTAATCCTGACCCTATAATGTCAAAAATGACTAAAAAATGTCATTTTCCACACCTGTTTTCAGACCAGACCCATAAAATCCATACCGGTTTTTAACTGATTTCTTGAGTGTAATTAATTGCTCTCTTTGAATAAATGTAATGATATTTGCTAAACAAGTACAATGTCAGTATAAACCTAGTACCTGAAATAAAAGGCTGTGCTGTCCAGTGTCTGGGTCCCTTTGTTTTGTTACTGTATTCATGTGATAGAAAGACAAAAAAATATTATTTTATTAACATTATATAAGCTGAAGTACTGCTCTGGACTTAAAATCCATTGCATGTAATGCTACAGGACAATTGCACATTGACATTATTTAACTACTACTACATGTACCAGAATCCTTCAGTTGTTGTTTGCTTGTGCAAATAAATTATTAGGGCTATTGTTAATTAAAACTCAGCAGAATTGACAAATTTAAATAAGAAGGCAAAAACAAAATGAATTCTGGTAGTTGTAGTCAAACATCGTCATCGTGGCCTATTGTGGCAATTTATGTAGAATACTGTAAGTTGTGTGGATTAGTTGTCATTTTACTGCACACAATATGGTGGGCAAAATTAGATAGGCCTTTGGCACCTACAATCAAGTGACCAGCTTAATGTATTGTTGAAATTTTATCTCATAATATTGTTACCAAAGATGGAAAGAGCACACAAGGAAATTTGGTACATGCAGAAAGCGATCGCGAGGTGACTAAGATTTTGTGGATGTTGGAATGAAAGACTCAGGTTTTATGGAAAAAATGCAATAATGCAAGGATTGTGGTCCAGTGACTTTTTCCATTGCTACCTATGGTATTTTTTTCTCTGAAACCATTAAAAAATGGCACTGTCAGGACTTAAAATATTTTTGTCTCTGGTATTTTAAGGTGATTCACATAGATACAAGTACAGTGTCAGTCACACCATCTAGCTACAGCTGCAAAGAGCAAATAACGACTCTGTATAAGCCATACAAGACCAAAAATTCATGGTCAAAATTCAGGCTAATTTAGTATGTCATTTATACAATTTTACTTCTCTTCTTAAACATACCAAATAACATGTATACATCCTTGTAGAATTATTACTCTTTTCAGAGAAAAAAAAAACAAGTACCAGTGTATTCTATATACATCTACATATGTTATTAGCAAGTAAATATTATGACATGACGGAGAGATATAAAAAAAATGATAAGGATTTTTTGCTACCTTTATAACCTGGACGGCCAATCTTGACAAACTTTTTAACAGATACCCTTGGTTTTTCCTGTAAAAGCAAGCAAAGTAATTACAGTGTTTACTTGTACACAGGGGCGGATCAAGGGTGCAGGGGGTGCGCACCCTCCCCCCCCCCCACTGAGATGACCTGCGGTTTTCTAATACAACTGGTACTCTGCAAACAAAAACTATGTGGTTTATTGGTGTTGAAGTAGAGAAAGAGACGAGTGCACCCCCTCCTAAAAAAAATCCTGGATCCGCCCCTGGTACATACTGCTTCATCACATAACAGTATTTATCCTCTTCTTTTGTTTTATTTCATTCACAGTTCACTTTTCATAGAACACAGGTACATAAAATAATATGGCTGAAAGAATGAAAGTTGGTAAATTTTAAGCTCGGTGACATGCTGATCAGAAATACAGCTTTACAACAGTACTGCTTCATTTAACTTAAAAAAATACAAACTACTGTACTCACTGGTGCTGGCTGAGCTGGGGCTTCTTTTGCTTCTTTAGCAGCACGACGAGCGCTGAAAATAATCATACTTTGTTATTTCTTACAAGCCGGTTAAATTGTGCAAGTTTGGGAAAAATTTTTGGCAGCTCAATGTATGCCACCAATGGGCCAAGGAAAAATGAGCCTGTATGCGAGCTATTGATTTTTGAATACCCCACGTTTGCTGATGAACACAGTGATCTATTTGGTTAAAAACGACAGGCAACGATAGGCCACTTAATTATGACAAAAACCAAGGATATGCGACACAAACATTCACACATCGAACTTGATGATAAAAAACATCAGTAGGAAACACAAGTGAGCCTGCTCGCAGGCTAGTTATTTCTAGTCACAGAAACTGATCCTTTGGGAGTCATTTTAAGATACAAGTATTGTTTGGAAGGGTTTGTGGAATAAGCATTTCACAAGAATGATAAAAGGTAATTTAAAATAAGAATCTTGTTTAGTGACGATCACTTAAACCTTCTTGAAACACAAATTAAGTTTAAGTGAATCCCTCAAAGATAAGGATTGCTTAGAGCAGCTGTAAGTAAAGTGCTGGACTGCAAAGTGGATGGGATGTCATGGGTTTGAGCCCTGGGCCAGACCAATACTCAGGGTCTCAAACTAGGTGATGAAGGCACATACATGTACAAATTTTTTGCTATTGCTTTGCGAATAAAATGTGGCTAGACATTTGTGTGGCTCAAATAAACACGTAGGAATGGCACTGTGGAGGTGTGTGTAGCTGAGTGGTTAACACCTCGAACTCCGGATCTGGAGGTCCGGGGTTCAAGCCACGCCCATCACATTTCCTCGGACAAGGAACTTTACTCCACTTTGTCTCTCTTCAACCCGGTGTTTAAATGGGTACTGGTGACATACTGCTGGGGGGTAACCCTGGGATGGACTAGCATCCCGTCCAGGGGGGAGTAATAATACTCCTAAGTGCTTCATACTAATGAAACTGGGATAAGCTCCAACCATTTGGGCCTTTGGCTCGTGTTTGCCTTTACCTTAATGGCATTAACATCTCCAGTAGGAGACTTACAAAACAGTGTCCTTCAAGTACTCTAAGGGACAATGGGGCGACACTCAACAAGGGAGAGCTGTTCAATACTCCGACAAATTTATGCATGGCATTGTATTGTATTGTATTCACATTACAGTACTGTACAAAAGCATAATGGTGAAGAACAAAGCAAAACAATGAGAAATTTAACAATACCATGAATAAATTTGTTGGAGTATTGGACAAGTATGCTTTTATGGGACAGGGAAATACTTCAGTCCTTTCTAAGGACAAGGTTTTACAGTGATCATTGTTACCACAGAGATTACCATCCTTTTTACAGTGACCAGAGTAATATTATGAAAACTAGCAAGAGATCACATCACATCTTAATCCAAGCACAGGTACAAACTGTGGAACCCAAATATAGTGTGTGTTCTGGTGCTTACAGGTTAGATTGATGCTTTTTTCCTTGAGTATGGGCAAGATAGCTTCCCTACAATAATAAATAGAGAATAATAATTAAAATAAAATCTCAAAAATAATGATAAGCTAAATGAGAGGACTGAAGATACAGTAGGGTTGTGCGCTATTAGTGTCTGGTGGTTACTGTCAACTGACTTCTGCCTCAAGGCATGACACGTAAATTGGGGTGAACTTCACAGGTTCATCCGTTTTACAGATTGTTATTCAGGCAAGCTATAGCTGGCATTTACTAGCACAGAAGTCATTTCAACTACCACCCCCAAAATTGATAAGCAATGATCACAGTTCCACTGTATTTGAATTTCCCAAGTAAGATTGCCCAACAGCCTCAACTCACTAGACCGATAGCAAACTCCACAAGCCCTGGGCTAGAGAGCAGTAAGTTTCCGCTCAGCCTCATGCATTGATTATGCATACATGTTCTCACTCTATTCATATCGACTGTTTGTGTGAAATAGTATGAGATTGTTGCATACATAATTATTAAATTTTTAAAAGGGCTGTACAGAAAGCATGCCCAGAATGCAGTTAAACAACTATTGACAGCCATTCAACTTACCTCGTTATTGTGCAGTGTAAGACACAATTTGCATTCATAGGAACCAAGATGGTTCTTCATAAAATATGGATCCTAAAAACAAGAAACAACAAGTACATGCATAATATTATTACAGTGTATCTTACTATTATTGAGTACCCAGTACATCAAGTATTAACTTCCGCAATGAAGAAAAGACTTTTGTCCTAAACCCATGCGTAGTTGGAGGAACTCTTCACCACTCTAAAGAGAACGCCACACGTGCAAAACAACAACTTCTTATTTACCTTGTTGAGGTCTATTGTTTCTAACGCAAGCTGTCTAAGACGCTCTCGTCGGTCTCTGTTAGATTCTGACCACGAGGCGACGCCACCGGAGCCAGTCTTTCCGCCTGCTCTGTTTTGAAAATCCATCTTGAACTGACAAATACACAGAAATTAGAAAAGAAATATGGCGACCAAGAAAAGACGCGCACTTGGAGGAAAACTAGGAATTAGTCATCACCAGTCTTTTTAAATTCGCCTTGAAGACGAGGCTAGTAAATTTGGCGGGCGCATAAGAAAATTTCAGCGGCATTTTGAGAGATCATGCGTAGTGACCATGACAACTTGGAGAAGATTATATTCTCTTCTGGAACCGAAATGTCTATGTCTGGATTGATAGGGTAGCTAACGAAGTTTGTATGCAAACGCCAGTCTAGATGGAGGAGCTCGGCGATGACGATGTGAAAGAGTTTGCTTCAGACTGGGTTAGAAGACTTCAAAATTCTGTTTTGGCTGCAGACAATGATGTCAGTAACCCAGGTGTCGTCAGGTCTCGTTTCGGTTCAGATGACGAGCGAATATTCCCTAAGAACGAATTTCGTGAAGAAATCGGTGAAGTCGATCGTTCAAACTTCCGCTGGAGACCTTCTTTTGCTGTAGATCTCAGAAATTCTGTTGCAGACAAACACCTGCCCGGCCGAGGAGAAGGTGACGAAGAGCAAGTCCTGTCGTTCGAATGTTCGTCAAAACATTCGAACGTCGATCAAGACCATCAGAGATTTAGTGGAAAAAGCACTCCAAGACCGGATTCTGAGTTCTTACGCC